TCCACAAGCTGAGAGTGGTCAAGGATTGGAAGAGCTCGGTGGGAGATACTTTGATGAACTATTGTCACGATCACTACTTCAAAGATCATGGAAATCAAGTTTCACAATGCATGATCTCATTAACGACTTGGCTATGTCTGTGTCTGGAGAATTTTGTTTTAGGTTGGGTGAGGGACAACCACATGAAGTTCCTAAACGAGTTCGGCATTTGTCATATATGAGAGAAAGATTTGATACCGTAGCAAAATTTAAGCCATTGGATGAAATTAAGTGTTTGCGCACCTTGTTTCCCATGTCTTTAAGACCATACTATAAGTGGGATAAGAGCCTATATGTAAGCATAAAGGTTCTAGAGGATTTGTTACTAGCACAAAGATGTTTACGGGTGTTGTCATTGGCAAGATATAAAAATATAACTCAGTTACCTGATAACATTGGTAAACACTTAAGCTTGCGCTACATCGACCTCTCTTACACTGCAGTTAAAACGTTACCAAATACGATGTGTGAGCTCTACAATTTGCAAACTCTATTATTGTTAGGTTGTTCCTCTCTTGTTGAATTGCCTGCAGACATGAGGAAATTGATTAATTTGCGTCTTCTTGATATTAGAGAAACTTGTATAAAAGAGATGCCGGTGCAAATGGGTAGACTAAAAAGTTTGAGTACATTGACTGCTTTTGTGTTGGGGAAATCTACAAGGTCAAGTGGCATTGGAGAACTGGGGCAATTGTCGAACCTTCGAGGAAAACTATCTATCTTGAATCTGCAAAATGTAGTCAATCCTATGGATGCCTTGGGGGCCAATTTGAAGGATAAGAAAGACCTTCACGAAGTAGAGTTGGCATGGGGTCATGAGGATGCAAATGATTCCGTAAAAGAGAGACATGTACTTGAAAGCCTACAACCTTCCGTAAATTTGGTGAAGCTGACCATCAGATTTTATGGTGGAACTACGTTTCCGGATTGGTTGGGAGACTCTTCCTTCTCCAGCATACAAGTCATGCATCTCACTGATTGTAGTACTTGCTTGTCATTGCCACCAGTTGGAAGGTTACCCGCCCTCAAAGAGCTCTATATAGAAAGGATGAAATTTGTTGTGAGTATTGATGTTGAGTTCTACGGGGGTAATGGAGCTTCTCTAAGTCAACCATTTCAATCTCTCAGGAAGCTAGTGTTTAAAGAGATGCCGGAGTGGGAGGAATGGCTGTCAAGTCCAGGTAGTGGTCAATCTTGCTTTCCTTGTCTTGAGGTGCTTATTTTACACAATTGTCCGAAGTTGAGAGGAAACTTACCTCATCGTCTTCCTTGCTTGAGACAACTTGAAGTGGACGACTGCAGGGTTCTGCATGAAAGGGCTACCAGAACAAGATGGATACCCTGGTCTCTCATCGTTAACACGGAATCCTTGCGACAATCTCTTAAAGAACTGAAGATAGTTAGATGCCCTGGTCTCTCGTCGTTACTCGAGACGGAGTCGCTGTCCTCGCTTTGGAGGCTTGGGATTCAAATTTTTAGTAGCACAGATTGCTTGCAGCCGCACTTCAGCAGTTGTCTTGAAAGATTGAGTCTCGTTAACTGCGCGTCACTCTTGTCGTTCCCGAGAAACGGTCTACCCACTTCGTTGACATATCTTGGAATAGAAAAATGCAGGAGATTAGAATTCCTATCTCATGAGATGATGGCCAAATTGACATCCCTTCAAGATTTGAGATTGAGGGACAGCTGTGATTCACTGAGGTCCTTCCCGCTGGGCGTTTTCCCCAAACTTTCATTTCTTAATATCGAGGGCGGTAAAAATCTAGAATCCCTTTCCATTGGAGAAGGAGCTGATGATGAAAATCTCACTCATCTCGATTCTCTCTTTATCTATGACTGTCCAAATCTGGTCTCTTTTCCCCACGGGGGATTGCACACTCCCAAACTGGCTCGATTTACAGTCTGGGGATGCAAGAATTTGAAGTTATTGCCCGACCGATTACACACCCTCACCGCCCTTCGAGACTTAGATATATACAATCTTCCAAATGTTGAGTCATTTGCAGAAGGGGGTTTGCCTCCCAACCTACAATCATTTGGAATCATAGGTTGTGAGAAACTGAGGCCTTCAGTGGAGTACTGGGGTTTGCAACGACTTGTCTCCCTCCGAACATTTCGGATCTGGAGCAGCGAGGATTTGTTGGACACTGTGCTCAAGGAACAGCTGCTCCCTACCACACTTCACGGTCTCGAAATCTCTGGAGTGAATAGGCTGAAATCTTTGAAGGGAAAGGGACTTCAACACCTCAATTGTCTCCAAGAGCTCGAAATTACAAGCTGTCGTCGTCTCAAATTCCTGCCAAAAGAGGGTTTTCCGGCATCGCTCTCTTTTCTGAGCATCAAAAAATGTCCTTCTCTGAGGAAGAGGTGTCGGGAGAAGACGGGAGAAGAGTGGAGCAAGATAGCTCACATTCCTTGCATCGAGATAGATGATCAAGTCATCATTTGAGATCTCAAAGTCAAAGTCAGGTACGTACAGAGCACCATTTTCATTCCATAGCCAAGATTCAGATTCTGTACAAAGTTTCTCTTCAATTATTTGCCGTCATTTATACTGTTTTAATCGATCAATCAATCAGTTTTTAATTGTTTAATTCAACTACGCGACCCTTCCATCTTCCTTCCGTGCTTGTTCCCCCCTGTAAACCATGTATCGTTAAATTTCAAGACAATATCATCCGAGGGCAACTTGTGTTAGCTTACATTAATTACTAGTCGTCGAATCGTGCTCTGGCTTATCTGTCATGAATATGATTCTCCCACATGGGCGATGAGGTAACCCTGGATGATGTTTTTTATTTCTTTCTCATACTTATGTGATTTGATTGTGGTGGAATGCATATTCATCTCAATATAAGGAAAAGATCCCGATTGTCAAACTTGAACGTTTAAGTGATAAACTGGATTGATTAAAACTTTCACATTGCTATCTTTCCTTGTCAATTCATGTCTAAATTTTTTTCCCGCTTTCAGAGTTTGATTGGGATGATAAAGTAGGGGAAAATGTGAAGGCATCATTTAAGCTTATGTATTAGTCAAATGTTAACAGCGAAATTCAACTATGCTTTCATGGCAAAATTATGTCACTAACTTGTTTGTCGGCTTTGCTGATGCAGATAGCAAACTGTGCTGTAAAGTTTGAATTACCTAAGTCCATTGCTTCCATCAATTAGTTGTCTATGAATGGTTCCCTTGCAGTGTGACATGTATATGATTCTCCTTCAATTGGATAGGTAACCCCTGGAATGATGTTTTTTCTCATATGCTGCTTTATTTTCAATACAAGCAAAAATGCCTTTTCATCTTCCCTTCATGTTGCTGCCATCTTCGTGTGGTTGCAGATCTGTTTTGGTACATACACAGCTGATGAAGTGAGAACGGGCGACGATGATCACAAAACAAAAATGAGAGCAAGTTTCTTTGGAGCACTGCCCTCATGCTTGCGCTTGTTGGAAGTTAGTACATTATGTTACAAGAGCAGGTGGGTGGTTGCTGCACTACACATTTTCACAGGAACGATATTTCTTATGTTGAACACTGCAGATAACAAAAGTTGAATTCCATTTCACTTTGTTTCTTCAGAATTGTTTCTGAAAAGTTCATAAATAAACAACTTTTTTCCCCATTTTAATTGAGTTTAAGTGTGACAGAGATAGTTCTAGAGACGTTGATTATATTCATTAATATAAAGAAAAAGCCACTTGTTAACCGTGCGCGTAATAAAGTGAATAGCTCATGTATAAGTTGATGCTAACTCAATCTATTTATAAGTTGGCATTATTTAAGAAGCTGCACCAATTAGGTTTCATATTAAGATCCATTTGCTTGTTTTGTAAGATCAATCAATCGTTTATAATTTTATCATATTTGAATTCAGGATTATTCATATATGTTGAGCTGGGGTATGGAAAAGGAAAGCACTTGCTTTGGCATCCTATCGAAACGGATAAGAGAAGAAACATGATTTTCATAATTTGATGTGGAAATGAAGTGGGAGAACGCATTGATCTGCAGGTAAAGCTCTATCTTCTTTCACTACATTAACTGTGCACAAACCTTCCATGACTTTTTGTTGGAATGTCCACATACTCTCCTTAAAGTAAACGATCCTGCTCTTTTATTTTCATCTGAAATTGTACCTATTGTCACAGCCTATGAGCATCTTATTCTCTGGAAGGGTTCCAAAGGAACTGAGAGATTACAGCAGTTTGCTCTACCATTGGGGATGTTATGAGCTATCCCAGGACAAAAGGGTATGTTTTCTCTATGTGCGGTGACATTCGACTACAATTGGAATCTAATTAAATATGAGCAATCCCTTTGAGTATGTACAAGCAGAAGAAATAAGGGGAGATGGATGTCGAAAGCAATGATGGTTCGTGAAAAACGTATGGCTTTGAACAAGGTTTTAGTGACGTTGTTTATGCCCTCGAGTTTTGATAGGAAACCAGTGTTGTCACCAAGAAAACGAGGGAAGGAGAAGTCTCTTAATGGAAGCAAAGATATGAACTTGGATGCATCTCCGAAATCTGATGCAGGAAACTAAGAAAATGAATTAGGACGAGTTGATGGAAATTTGTAATGGCAGCAGAGATGGTGCTGCTGCTATGAGCAATAAGGATGTCAGTGCCAAGGCAGTCAGAAAGCATCGTAAAGTCAAGGAATGGCCCGGGAATATTGAGACTCAAGCGGTTGATTTTGGCAGCAGAGATGGTGGTGCTGTTGATTATGGTTTTTTCTTTGAATGCATATTGATATTGTTGTTGGTTGGTTTTAGTTCGGTTTAAGAGGACTTATGGTCTCGAGTTTTTGCAGGCAATGTGTGCTGATTCACCTGGCAAACAAGGGAAGGAGAATGAGCTTGATCAGAGCGAAGATGTGAAGTGCTCTGATGCAGCAAAACAGGACGAGTTGATGGAAATTTGTAATGAAGCAGAGATGGTGGTGCTGCTGTGAATGAGAATGATGCCAAGGGCAAGGGCAAGGGCAAGGCTGCAAGAGGGTTTCGCAGGGTCCAGGAATGTCGCATTTAGAGCAGAGAGGCTGATCTTGAGCTTCCCCTACCTCAAGGCACCATTAGTTACTGAGAATGTGGGAAATTGTCTCCAATTTTTGAAGTTCTGTGAAACTTTTTGAGAGGTAGTTCTTACTTTTGTTCTATTATATATTTGATTAAAGTGTTGATCAAAACTTGTCTTAATTGATTTTATGTGCCCTTTTTTTTGGGTGCTAAGACATTCTTGAACTTCCAATTCACTTGAAATCTCTTTTTTTTTCTTGTTTATTTTGACTCTAGTTTTTTTAAATTGAAAAGTCCAAAGCTGAATCTGTTCTTCGAGAACAATTGCGTGGGGGAAGTGGACAAAGTGGATGGCCTGGACAGTACTCCAGTGTTCATACAGGAGAGAGAGGCCAGGCCATTAGTGGAGTGGGGTGGGGTTTGCAACGACTTGTCTTCCTTCAAACATTTGGGATCACTGGTTGCAAGGATCTGTTGGAGATGTTGCTCAAGGAACAGCTACTCCCTTCCACTCTTACACTCTCCAATCTATGGAATAAAAGTTCTGAAATCTTTGGAGTGAAAGGGACTTCAACACCTCACTTGTCTTCGAAAGCTCAAAATTAGAAGCTGTGATAATCTCGAATTCCTGCCAAAAGATGGTTTGCCGGCATTACTTTCTTTTCTGAGAATCAAGTGCTGTCCTTCTCCGAGGATGAGGTGTCAGGAGAAGACGGGAGAAGAGTGGAGCCAGATAGCTCACATACCTTGCATACAAATAGATGACGAAGTCATCGTTTGAGATCTCAAGTCAAATTTAGGTACTTACATAGCACAATTTTTCATACAATAACCTGTTTCATTCCATAGCCAAGATTTCAGATTCTGTATAAGTTTCTCTTCAATTGTTTACTGTCATTTATACCGTGTTTAATTAATTAATCAATCAATCAGTTTTTAATTGTTCAATTCAACTACGCTACCCTTCCACCTTCATTTCGTGTTTGTTCTCCCCTGTAAAACCATGTATCTTTAAATTCCAAGACAATATCATCCATGGGCAACTGGTGTTACCTTACATTAATTACTAGTCGTCCAGTTGTGCTTTGGCTGTCTGTCATCATGAATATGATTCTCCTGAATGAGATGAGTTAACTCCTGGATGATTTTTTTTTTCTTCTCGTAGTGATGTGATTTGAATGTGGTGGAATGCATATTCATCTTAAGGAAAAGATCCAGATCCAGATTGCCAAACTTGCACACATAATAAACTGGAATTAATTTGAAAAAACTGTACCAATTAGGCTGGACCTATTCAAATCAGCATGCATATCCTTGTTTTCTAAGATCACTGGTTAATTTACAGCATCTTCATCTTTGAATTTAGGGCATCCTTCTGAGACGAGGTATGACAAGAAACAAGCATTTTCTTAATTTGATGATGAACGAGCAAAACCATGTGAAGGTAAAACTTGCCTCTAATTCTTGTGAACTGTAATACCTTGCATTTGTCAATTAAAATTACGGTTGTAATTTAATACTTTGCACATTATCGGTTGAACAAATAAAATTTGAACCTTATTATTCTTATCTTCTTTTCACATAATTCCAAAAGTTATAACATCCACCTCTGGAAGACTAACCAAAATTACCATGGTTATGAAAAGATTCAACTGATTTTCTTGTTTTATGGTCTTGCAGTTGCATACTCAAGGATTTTGAATTCGAAGAATGGTGAAAGAAAAGCACATGGATCTCCTTTTGTTTCTGAGTTCCTTGCATGAATATGCTGCACATTTTGGATGAAATGGTTTTCGGAATGAAAAGATGATCAACTCATGTGCACAGGTGGCCATATCCACATCAATATGAATTTCACTATGGGAGTTGTTTAGTCAATATTTAGGAATAAGCAATTCAGGAAAACTGGTTCCAACATTTTCTTATATTTTTGGATCTTGGTACACCTCAAGTGATTGCTCTTTCTAAAACTTTCACTTTGCTATATTTCCCTGTCAAGTCATGTTTAAATTCTGTTCCAACTTTCAGAGTTCGATGGCCATGATAAAATGGAAAATGAAGGGAAAAATGTAAGGAAAATATTATTGAGGCTTTTATAAATATGTTACATCTATCTGTAGAATTTAGCTTAATCATTTCGGCTTATTTATTAGTGAACTGTTGACTGCGAAATTCAACTATGATCTGAGTGAGGTCAAAATTATGTCACTAACATGTTTGTTGGCTTTACTGGTGCAGAGAGCAAACTGTGGAATTGTAAAGATAGGATTATAGGATTATCTAAGGCCAACAATTTTAACATCCATCAATTAGTTGTCCAGGAATGGTTCTCCTGCTGTTTGGCGTGAATATGATGCTCCTTCAATTGGATAGGTATCCCTGGAATGATGTTTTACTTGTATACTGCCTTATTTTCAAGACAAGCAACATGGCTTTTCATTTTCTCTTCATGTTGCTGCCATCTTCGAGTGGGTGAAGATATGTTTTTGTACACAAACAGCTGTGGAAGTGAGAACGGGGTGACAATGACCAGGTTCAGGTTTCCTTGGAGCACTACCCTTATGCTTGCGATTATTGGAAGTCAGCAAATTATGTTACTAGAACAGGTGGGTGGTTGCTGCACTACACTTTTAACAGGAACTATTTCTTATGTTGGACACCGCAGATGAGCTGTAAGCCTGTAAGTGAGTTTCATTTCACTTTAGTTTCTTCAGAATTGTTTCTGAAACGCTCATAAAAACTTTTTTTGTTTTCTCTTTTTAATTGAGATAGAGAGAGACAGAGATAGCGAGAGTCTCATAGACATTGATCATATTCATTAATAGAAAGAAAAAAAAGTCGAGATTGTTAAACATACACGTAATAAAGTGAATAGCTCATGTATAAGTTAATGCTAATGCAATCTATTTGTTAATGGGAACTATTTAAGTAGTTGCACCGATTATATTTCATTTCACAATCCTTTTTCATGTTTTCTAAGATCGATCAATCAACTATAATTTCTTCATCTATGAGTTTAGGAATATCATGTAGAGCTGGGGTATGGAAAAGGAAAGCACTTGTGTTGGCATATCGAAATGGATATGGGAAGAAACAGGATTTCACAATTTGATGTGGAGGCGAAGAGGGAGAAGAATCGATCTGGGGGTAATGCTGTGAGTTCTTTCCCTACATTTACATCAAAACTGTCCACAAACCTTCCCTGAACCTTTGTTGGAATGTCCACACTCTCCTTAAAGAGAAAGATCATGTCCACACCACATATTATCTTAACATTGGCATGTTGTCACAGCTTGTGAACGTCTTATTCGCCAGAGAGTGATCAATTGGAACTGAGAGATCACAGCATTTTGCTCTACCTAGGTATGTTTTTTAGTTGTATGTGCAGTGACATGTGAGTACAATTGCAATCTAGTAAAACATCTTTATTTGGATACTGCAGGGTCGTCCATTACGGAGGCAACCATCTGATTCATTAAAATTTAGGTGGAGGATGGTCAGAGCAGGCTGTCAAATGTTAGAATTTTTCTTGGTAACAACTCTGAACCATGGTAGTTCTTCATGTACATTATTGCAGATAGCAGTACAAACCCTAATCAGTAGGAGGTGAAAAGAGTACCAATTATATCTTTTATTATTGTACAAAAGTCAACATGTAATTGTATAGATGGGGAATACGGGATGGAGCTCCTTCTGTTGAAAACTGCTTATTTTATGGCGCTGAAATAGCCAATCGACAAATACCTCTCCTCTCTGAGTCTAAAGTGTGCACGTATAATATTTTTACATTTTTAAGTAGGTTAAAATCGTACTGATATCACACGATTTTCTCTTCACCCCCTTTCAATGAACTGGTTTTTGATGCATTAATTGTTTGCTTGGCTTGCAGGCAAGAACGGGCCACGAGCCAGAGGCCTTCCAAAACTCGGTTTTCAAACAACGAAGAAAACTTGCAGGTTCCCATCCTCCTGAAAGCAATGAAGAAAACGCGCAGGTTTCCTAGAACTTCTGAAAGCATCGAAGAAAACGCGCAGGCTTCCCAGAACGTCTGAAAGCATCGAAGAAAACATGTAGCTCAGTCCTAAGGCTAATTAAGTTTTTAGGCATCAGAAGACAAAGTAGGTTTACATCCAAGTTACAAGTATTTGGCTGCCCCAGCTTCTGCATAAAACTCCTATATGGGGAAGTCGTTTCTGCTTCGGATTTCTCTGTATGGCACTGCTGATTCGGAGGGGGAAGTGATCTTAAGAAGCCGGCCAGCTGCCTCAGACAAAGAAGTGTGGTTTTAAACTTATGAATAGTGTGCAGAAGGAGAAAACGCATGTGCGAAAAGTATTTTTCTTGTTTTTGTTGTAATATCTGAAGACATTTTGGTATCAACTTTCTTCTTAAGTTAATGCGTTTCGATGTACTTTCATCCGTGTAGCATATTACACAGCAGTTTTGTGCAAGTGTTGTCGATGGGCTGGCCCAAGTTTAAATTTTTGGGCCCAGGCCCATGCTCAATTTGGTTGGGTGCTGAAGAAAACGAGAAAAACTTGGGTGTACTGAATTTTTTATTAATTTCTCTATCTCATTGGTAACGGTTGATTTAAGCGAGCCTCCGGAGGTATGGAGGCCTGTGATGTGCCATCATTTCGGATTTCCGACTTGTTAGGTGGAATTAGTTAAGAAGATTAAAAACTCGTTTGCATATGCTTTTAAAATGACTGAAGATTTTTTTATGAAAATATTTTTAGAATCAATCCTTAGTGGAAATACAAATAAATCCTGAAAAAACACTTAAAATACTTCTTAGAAGAAACACATAATTGGTGCTTCTTGCAAAAAGTACTTAAAAGTGTTTTTGAAATCCAAAAACATTTTATCTCTAAATATTTTCAATCATTTTAAAAACGCATCCAAATAAATCCTAAAACACTGATGATAATGCCGGTGCTTAAAGTGGTCGTGTTGTATTGGAGCGTAGACCAACACTATGACGATGTGAAAAAGAATCGGCACTTAGTGCGGACACGTTATGAAAATACAAAAAAAGCTTTCCCATCTCTGAACTTCATGTTGTCAATATAAAACATAGAAATATTCATTTGGATCAGCGTGGATTCTGTGTGGATTTATTTAAGAATCCAACTATGGTCTAAAAACAATCTCTGTAACATCACTCTTTTAGAAAATATTTAACGAATACCATTAGATCATGAAAATAATTAAAAAAATGCTTTCCTATCTCTGAACTTCATGTTGTCAATACCGATACTAATGACACTTTTCATCCCTTCTATGTAGAGCTCTTTGAGAGCAGGTAGCCGCCCAACTGGTGGCAATGAAAAGCAAGTACCACAATCACTGAGACACATGACTTGTATGTTGGAGAAGGAAGAGTCTCCCAACCAATCCGGAAACCTGGTTCCACCATAAAATCTGATGATCAGCTTCGCCAGATTTATGGAAGGTTGTAGGCTTTCAAGTACATGTCTCTCTTTGATGGAATCATATGCATCCTCACGACCCCATGCCAACTCTACTTCGCTGAGATGTTTCTTATCCTTCAAATTGGCCCCCAAGGCATCCATAGGATTGACTACATTTTCCAGATTCAAGATAGATAGTTTTCCTCGAAGGTTCGACAATTGCCCCAGTTCACCAATGCCACCCGACCTAGTAGATTTCCCCAATACAAATGCAGTCAATGTTCTCAAACTTTTTAATCTACCTATTTGCACCAGCATCTCTTTTACACAAGTTCCACTAATATCAAGATGACGCAAATTAATCAATTTCCTCATGTTTGCAGGCAATTCAACAAGAGAGAAACAACCAAACAATAATAGAGTTTGCAAATTGTAGAGAGTACACATCGTATCTGGTAACCTTTGAACTGCGGTGTCAGAAAGATCAATGTAGCGCAAGTTTAAGAGTTTTCCGATGTTAACAGGTAATTGAGTGATATTTTTATATCTTGCCAATGACAACACTCGTAAACACTTTAGTGATGGTAATAAATCATCTAGAACCTTTATGCTTACATAGCTCTTATCCCATTCATAGTATGGTCTTAAAGACATGGGAAATAAGGTTCGCAAACACTTAACGTCATCTAATGGCTTAAATTTTGGAGCAGTATCAAATCTTCCTCTCATATATGACAAATGCCTAACTCTTTTAGGAACTTCATCATGTGACACTCCCTTATCCAACCTCAAACAAAATTCTCCAGACACAGACCTAGCCAGGTCGTTAATGACATCATGCATTATGAAACTTGATTTCTCAATTGATGATCTTTGAAGTAGTGATCGTGACAATAGTTCATCAAAGTATCTCTCACCGAGCTCTTCCAATCCTTTATCACTGTCATCTTGTGTAATTAAACCCAGTGCCATCCAAAGTTGAATTATATTTTCCTTTTCAAATTCATAGTCCTTTGGGAAGATTGAGAAATAAGCAAAGCATTGTTTTAAATACGTAGGGAGATAATGGTAACTCAATCTTAAAGATGGAAGAACATTTTTCTCATGCACTGTCTCCCAAAGTTTGTTGTTCAAAATGTCACTCCATTCCTTGTAACCTACGTTACAACCTAAGAGACCCCCAAGTGCTTTTGCAGCTAAAGGAAGACCATTGCACTTACGTGCAATTTGCTTACCAATTTCTTCCAAGTCTAGATGTGCACTAGGATTTTCATTTCTAAATGCATGTTTTGAGAGTAACAACCAACAATCTTTATCCGACAAATGGCTCAAGTAATGAATAGGACTGGTGTGCACAATGGATGCGACACTTTCGTGCCTTGTTGTCACCATGACCTTACTTCCCCTCGCCCCATAAGTAAAAGGAGCCCGTACAAGATCCCAATCACTATAGTTGTCATTCCAAAGGTCATCCAACACAAATAGGAACTTTTTCCCCACCACTTTTTCCCTAAGTTTATCTTGAAGCAAGCTCATCTCTTGAAGATTGCAAGGTTCTGAGATAATTGATTCAATAAGGGTTTTAGTTACCCTAATAGCATCAAATTCTTCGGAAACGCAAGCCCAAGCTGTAAGACGAAAATGGTCTTTTATTTCTTTATCATTGTAAAGGAGCTGAGCAAGGGTTGTCTTATCAACCCCGCCCATTCCCACTATGGGGATTACTGATATGTGGCTGCTACTTGCATCTTCCGATAGCAACAGTGTTTTCAACTTGTCTTTATCTCCATCCCTACCATAAGGACTAAATTCATTCTCAACAAAGGATGTTGTGGGAGTTCTTTGAGAAACCTTCTCCTTAACGCCTCCTATAAGACCAATGAGATCTTTTCGTTTCTCAAGGTGTTCCAACCTTTGGAGTAACTCTTGTATCCTACCATTCATGCCTTGATAAAAAGGATTAAGATAAGTAGAGAGGAAGTTCCACACCTGTGTTTTCTTACTTTGATATTCCTCAGCTTCCACCTTGCTTCGCAAAGCTTCAGTATCGATCTCAACCAGCAGGTCCTCAGCATCGAAGATGGCATGTTTGAGCTCGTCGAGCCACTCTCTCACACGAGGTTTCTGAATCTGCTTCTCCTCTGCATCATCGAGCACTACATTAAGGGTCAGAAAAGTCAGCTTCAGTTTCTCCAAGAGTGAATGGTCAAGTTTTCTCCCCCGGAAGAAGTCCATGAACTCGCCAGAAGCAATCTTTTGGCACATCGTCTCGATAGAAGTTGAGAAAAAAGCCTCTCCAATCAAAGCTCCTGCCATTTTTCTCTGTTTGTTTGTTCTTGTGGTGAGGAAGTAACAATTCCTGTTAGGAATATATTATGTACATCTCAACCAAATTCCGTGAGGGAGAAGATTAGATTTTGTTTTTTAATTAATGCAGTGGACCACATAAATGGTGGGCTGTCCTTTGGAGAGAGGTTTTGTTTTCTTCTGTTCTGCGATTAAAAATGGCGGGAAAAAAAAACATTAAGTCACTGTTGCAATGACAGGACCAAATGCACTGGGATTTTGTAGGACAAATTTACAAAACTTCTCAACAGAGATTCACTTGATACTCAGTTAAATCTCGAAGTAAAATTCTTTACCCTCCTATTACCATTTTCTTCCCCTTCTCTAACACTTTTCTTTTGTTTTTTCTATATATAAAAAATTTAAAACAAAATGTTAACGTGATTTTAATCATAACCATTTAAATAGGAGAGAAGGAAATGAGAGAGAAATTAAGAAGAGAGAGAATCCTACTATTTACAGTCAAATGGTATCTGCACGTGTAAGTAAGAGGTTTTAGGTTTGATTCTCTCTAAAGACGAGTTTGAACCACATTATTACTAGCCCATTGTGAGGCTATGCTCACCCCTCTCCCTTAATATAGATAATATCATTTGTTCAAAAAAAATATATATATCAGTTGAGATTCACTTGTTAATATTGACAAAAAAAAGGTGATTCACTTGGTACTTGTGGAACCTGTGACCAATGACAGATCTAGGAAAAATTACTCGGAGGGTCACATATAAAAATATACAAACATTTTTTAGACATATAACAACCTTAAAAATTAAACCCTAATTTCAAATAGGGAGCTATGGCATTTCTCCAGCACTCACACTGTAATAGCAAGACGATCGTTGAATACCACGTGTCTCTCTTTCCATATCTCCCAGAAAATTACACCCAACCCAAGTTGGCTTGAAAGTGCATCTTCGGAGATGTTGTAGGGTTCCTTTCAAAAACCAAACATCCAAAAATCAGGGAAGGGTTTGTAGTTGAGATAGGATCCAAGACCTACAATTTGATCCAAGGGCAAAGCAAAATTAAGTGCTCTATTGAGTCCTCATTTTCTCCGCAGAGAGGACACAGAGGGTGGTCAACAGTCTTTTGCCGATAAATGCCCAACCTATATGGAAGGAGAAATTTTTCATTGCGACGGAAATATAGATGGTACACCACGTGTTTTTATATAAATGATAAGAAATTATATTTTTTAAGTTATTAACTTTTTAGCACGCATATTCCATCATTAATATAGTGATACATGATGTACCACTCCGTGTTCCAATCACACTGAAAAATCTCTCATATGGAAGAGCACTTGACAGGACCTTCCGGAAAATTGGTAACCTTCGGAACTTCGATGCCACTACAGTCAATTTGGTGTAAAATGTGGGCACTCCTGACAGTGAGTAATATATATATATATATATGTTTGATGATTTGAAGAATCACTAACGAAAATGCGCTGAGTGTCTAATCTCCTCAACATATTCATCAAAAATCAACAGTAAGTGCCTGCAATAACATCAGTAAAACCATTTTCAGGGATTTAATATTTTCTCATGGCAAGGGGCATTAGCAGCAATTTACAAGTAAACTGTCCCATGATCTCTATCGCTCTCGAGATCAGAAAATCTCCAGGTATTTATGAATGGATTCATCCCAAAGCAATTGCAAAATCACCCTTCATTTCAAATCCCGTCAGAGCTGGGTTTTTTGTCCACTGAACTCTGACGATCCCTACTCCACAAGAACAAGAGATATCATGTTCCCGTCATTAAGGTTAACACAAGAAAACAATTACAAAGTAATACAATTTTGACATGGGTTCCTATAAATAAACTACACACATTGTAAGTAGCTCCTAATAGCTTACGGAGCAGGGAATGACAGCTAAAACTTAGTTTCTTCCACTCCTCACCTTAAATAGATTACATCAAACCCTACACCATTATTCAATCTAAATGCCAAAAATATATAGACACTGACTTTAGTTAAGTTGGCTAAAATATTTGCTCTCTTCTATATACTCAAGTTCCAATACTCCTTCCTGTTATTAAGATTAATTTACTGTCGACAATCGCTTGTATAGAAAATGGGATCACCACCTTCACCCCCGATCAAACCCTCATCACCACCATCACTGTTGCTTCCACCGCACCCAACCATTGCCACCTCCGCGATCAGCCCATCACCATCACCATCACCATCCTACATATAAGGTTAAGATGATTATCAGGGAAAAAGGTATAAAGGCAAGTCAATATTTGTATGCAAATCTAATATGTAATAACATTTTCAACATCTGGTCCATTTTAATCATTATAGACAAACACCACATACAGACACCACAGTGTTGCATCAAAATTACTAACCGTTGTTACACTGCATCCCTCCTTATGCTTTTACCTTTGTTGCTTAACGTTGTTCGTGTTGATATCTTTTAGGTAATAATATAAACTGGATATCATTTTATTGTGAATTCTTGTTAGCAAGGTTCTAAAAGGTGCTAGTCGGGCGGCAGGCGGGGCCTAGGCAATTTTAAAAAAAAAATTGTTAAAATTTATTATATAACATATAAATAAATGTCTACTTATATTTAAAAAATAAATAAGTATATTGAGATATATAAATTACAAAATAAAATGACACATAGATCATAAAGAATTAAAACATATTGAAAACATGGAGAACAAGCATATAATGAGTGTCATCTAAGTATTCAACAAGTCCCTTGACAATTTATTGAAAAAATAAAATACAAAATGAAAGTTATCTATTTTACGTCTAAGTGAAGGTCGCAACCCAAGCTGGTGCCTAGGCAGGTTTAGGCGCCCTTTCTTAATTTTCAAACATCTTGGGATTAATTGGTGCAATGGCTAGCCATCTAGCATCTGGACGGAGATTTTTAGAACAGTGCTTGTTAGTTAGTAGGAAGCAAGTCTTCCAAATCTCTTGATCAGAAAATCTCCATGGGCTTTGTAAATAGATTCACCCCAAAGATTAAAATTACAAAAAAAACATCCATTACACATCACCACCAGAACTGGGATTTTTGCTACCGAACTCTAAAGATCCAAGTCCAACAAGCATTGCAAATATCACGTTACTCGTCATTAAGAATAACACGAGCAAACGATTACAAAGCAATGCCATTTTAACATGAGTCAGAATAAATGAACCGTACACATTGTCAGGAGTTTCTATTAGCATTGTTCTGCAGCGCTAGGCGGCTGGCCACCGCCCCAATTAGTCCCTAGGCGTTTGAAATTAAGAAAGTGCACCTAGACCCGCTTAGGTGTCCACCTAACCTAACTTAACCCGCCTGGGTCTTGACTCTCACTTAGATAGAAAATCAATAAATTTCATTTTGCATGAAAGCATGAATAAATCTAACTCAAAACAGGAATGCAAAATGGAATTTACTTCCAGCAAAATTTTGGTAAGAAGTTGGATACATATTAAACCTTACCTGGAGAACAACCTCAGCTTACCAAGAACATACATCCTGGATATCCACCTTTCCTTGATACACACTCAACAATTGAGGTGCTTTGCCAAGATGTCTTTTCACAAACATCTCCGAGAACTGCTTATCCGTAGGTTTCAGCACCGAACCCAAATTCAAGTTGTTGCTTATCAAACCTTTCAACAATAAAACTTTAACTGCCGAGCACCTCGGGATAAGTCTCCTCTCCAAACTCAGACTGAGGACCACCGGGTATTTGGCAATCATTTCTGAGGACCATGCCATCTTGTTCACTAAAAAATTCATTGCTTGCATTAGCTTCTGCTCCAACACAATCACAAACTGGGGATTCTTCTTGAAAGCAGAGAGAACATCGTCCTCAGACCAACCCCACCTTTTCAAAGTTTCGCGACTTCTATTCCATCCCTAACTTATTCTTACCACACAATGCACGCAGTGCATTCACTGAAGTCGTTTTTTCAAGATTGAATTCCCTTTTTTTTAACCTCGGCCACAAGTTGACCAAGTCTTTCAGGACACACCGTCAAAATGGAGCACAATATGTTAGAACAAAAGAAATACATGGAGGCTGCATACCTGATTCTCTCAAAAGATCAATATTTGGCACCAGATACTTGAAATGACTTTCCACGAAAGCCGCGAGTTGTGCTTGAAAAGAGCTACAACATTTTCCTCAGAAAGGATACTCCTAGGAAATCAGAAGTGGGCATAATCTTGTTTGTCAAGCTTATTCCCAAAAGATGTGGATTATAAGCCAGAGTTTTTGCAAGGTCAACCCTCGAAACACCGAGAGAGCTGAAAAACTCAAGTTTTGGCAGAAGGGTTTTCTCGGGATTGGCAGAAAGAATCAGCGGAAGGGGCAACATATTCTGCTTTTTTTTGGAGATTCCAGCTTCACCCTTTCGATACTGAAATGCATCTTCTGGGGGACAACCCACATGTGTTTATGAGGTAATTGACTTTGAAACCATGCTGGGTTTCCGAGATTTCTGAGGTGATGGGTCTGCAAAGCAACTGATTTGGAAGACAAAAGTTGTAGCGTTTTGGACCAACAAGAACAAAACTTTTAGGTTCTGATGCAAATGTACAAGAAAATATTGAATTAACCAATCGGAGGGCCTTCATATTGTAGAGTTGAATCATGTTAGAGGCCGAGGATGAACAATTTCAATTGGAGAAATTAAAACCCCAGAATTTCGAAAGAATATGAACTATCAAATTAATCCATGGATAAGTTTTCTTACTGTTTTTTCAGCAGATGGAAAACCTCCATTTCGGTACTGTTATCAATCCATGGCGATTAGAGAAGAAATGAATTTCAGGCTTCAAAGACGTCGAGGGTTTAGCTTCTTTGGGGAGAAGGGCGAAGACCGTTGGAACCAAAAGCAATTTCGAAATCATTTGAAAAAATAAAGAAGAAAAAAGAAAAAGAAAATGCAAGGAAACTTTAGCCGTTGGATTAGTGAAACTTTAACCGCAAGATCTACACCCGCGGAAAGATAAGTAAATATTTTATTTATTATTTTGCAAACCTCTCTCTGGCATGTTTTTGTAATATTCATGAAGTGCATGTCTAATTTCTCGTATCTAATTATTTTACGATGCATCTTTTTTTAACTTTGTCGAAATCTATTGGGAATTTGAAGTTTCTCACAAACATGGACTAAGCCACCTTGGGCCCAATGGGGACGGTTGCCCCACTCAAT